TGTAAGTAATACTTTTAGACAGTGCAAATAATGAGCAGGTGCCCTTGATATGGTGGGTTGCATATGAAACATTTTTTCTCCATGAAAATGTTTTTTCTCCATGAAAATGAGTTTTTTTCAGTTTAAAGTTTGTTTAAAAAGATCACCATGGGATTGCAGCATAGGTGTTTAATAAGTGTAAAGATGTTGATTGGCTCTGTCAGATGTCACTAAAAAAAGCATTATGCACTTCAAACTGTTCTCTTTAGTCTGATTCCATAAAATGCAGGTTTCATGAGACTTTTTTACAGGCTCAGAGCACGACTTCAGGAAAGTCTTAAATAAGTTTTGTAGCATGAAAAACTTAATAACATGGGTTATTGCAGTTTGGCAGTTTTATGGCAAAGAATAAAACTGCATGTGGGGGGAGGATGGAAGAGGGAAAGGTGCATCTCTGGTGTTTGTAATATTAGGTCTCTATGCAAAGGAAAGGATTTAGCTCCTTCTTCCTTCTGCAGGCCAGCCAGACAGTGGTACCTTGGATGGGATGTCTGAAATGAATTGCTGGGTGGGGACAGATGTTGGGGAGAGGAGGGGTGAGTGAGAAAGGTATAGAATTGCAAAGCTGATTGATGGCTTTAAAACGTGTTTGATGATGGGGGGTTAAAATGCACTCAGAGTGCTGGGGCATGAAGACAGCTAAGGTGGAAGTGTGGGGGAGCTCTGCTGTGTCCTTGGTAAACCTCTATTTCCCTTTGTTCTTTAATGCCCCCTGGTGGAGCTGGAGCTCCACGGTATTTATTATTTAATTTTATTTCATTTGTCATTACTCTTAGCACTAGGAATTGGGAAGCGCCACTAATAGCTAGGGTGGGTGAATGAAGATCTTGTAGACCTACTGTACTTGAGTGCATAGGAATGATGTCCCTCTCAATTTTTCTGCAATTACCATGTGTTTTGGTAGGAAATATAGAGGAATATATATGCTTTTGTTGCTGTGTTGGGTCAGGTGAGTTGTACCTAAGACCCCTGAAATCTTGAGATTCAACTACTTGGTGTAATTGGGCTTTTTAGAGCAATTCTCAAACAAGCTGATTAATAAGAGACTTCCCACAATCAGAAGTGTGAAGGTCATAAGGTTATGTAGCTTTGTTTCTAAGTTCAAGCCTCAGAAAGAGACCTCTTCCACCTAGCATCTCCTCGCATGACTTTGGCTTCTCGTCCTAAACAGCATGTCATCCTCTGGCTACAATCATCTGCTAGTATCAGAAGGAGTTCAGTAATTTGCATCAGGTAGGCCCAGCCCCATCATGGACCAATTCTTTGACCATACCTCCACACAGGGTATTTGGGGAGATTTCACTCTTGCCTGTGTAATGGTATACATTGAAGGAGAGAGGCATAATGTACTGTTTAGGAAATTCTCCTCTTATTATCATTCATCATTTCTGGTCCATGTATCCAGTAGCATGCTGCATCTTCCACGTGTATTCTGAGTATTGACCTCCACCGATATCTATGGAAGCTCTGTGACTGGACAGGGGACACAACATTTTGAGGAGTAAAAGCCCGTTGCCTGGATAATGAGAATCAGATGCCATTTCAGGTCAAAAACTACCCTCCAGTTAGAAACCTGATCTAAGAACTCCTGCCCCCAGCTGCCCATGGGGGTTTTATCTCAGAGAGCCGAGTCACTCCGCTACAGCTACTTGCATTTACAGCTCCTCAGCCACAGCTGCTTCCTTGCAATATGCAGTAGAGAGGTGAAGGATGGGTGCAAGACCTGCAGCAAAGACAAGAGTGGAGAGTTTACATGAACGACTCGCACCGTATTCAACAGTTCCCAGTAACCTTTGTGAATTGCCCGCCGCTCTCTGGGGTTTATCTAGTGAAGTGATTCTCAACCAGGGTGCCATGGCATCCTGAGGTGCCTTGAGGTCTTTTCAAGGGTGTTGTGGGATGCCATGCAATGTTGGTACTGTTAGGTGCACAAATGAGATTCACAAGATAAACCCAGAGATTGCAGATAGGAAGCCACAGCATCAAAACAATTCCAACCTGTCGTGTGCTTTCTGAGTTCTTTGCAGCAGAAGAATTGCTCTGTTGTTTTTCTGTAGTCAAATAACAAGTGAAAACTAAAAGCGTTGTCTGAGGGGTGCCCTCCAGTCTCGTGAGCGGCACCTTGAGTTTAAGGAGAGGTGCCTCTAGTCAAAAAAAGGTTGAGAGCCACTGATCTAGTGCTCAAAGCACTGGAGTGGAAGTGGGGGGATTTTGTAAGTTATTTTCCTTGCAGTGCCACAGGTTCCTCCCCTGTATATAATGGAAATAATAATACTCATATGGAAAAGTAGCATTGTGAGTTTTATCCTGTTAAAGTATGTGCAGTGCCTAGCATATTTTAGAGCTACCCATGTGTTTTCTTGCCTCTCCACAACACGGCTTATGCCAACATGATGTGGGCAGAGCATCCTGTTTAGCTTTTCCACGAGTCTAAATGTCGCTCTCAAGAAGCTCCTTGTGCCTCTCTTGCTCTCGTGTCTCTCTCTGCAGCTAACCCGCTCTTCTCTTTTGCTTTCTTCTGTTCCCGTTGCTAGGGGGTAGTGAAGAGCTTGTTTCTCAGTTACTCTCTTCCTGCTCCTCAGGGGACTCTCTTGTGCTCCATGAATAGGCAGCATCACAGGAGGAAGAAAGCAGTTTCTTCTCTAGGCAGTAAAATGCCTTTCGCTGCAGCCTCAGCAGAACTGAAGCTTTTTTGCCTCTGAACAAACGCCAAACCTCCTTCAGGAAAAAAAGGACTCTTCCCTTTACCCAGCACCATCCAGACTTTGCCCAGCTGAAGTTTAGATGGGCAACTTTCCAGGAGGCCAAGGGCTATACAGTATGCAGTAAATTGCAGCTTCCCTAGTCAGCAATAAGATGTGTATTTTTTGCAGACTACAAATCCCAGCATGCAGTGCTCAGTGGCAGGTGGTGCTCTGGAAAAGCAGTGCACATGGGACTTGTAGTCTGTCTCGCGGTATTAACAGTGAGGGGTGGCTGAGGTTCCGTTAGTCAAATTCTTTGGACTGCATTTGTACTGCGGGTCCATCAGCGTTAACCTAGCTAGATCACAGCTGGGAACTGGCTGGTTTCGTCGTCGTTGGTGGGCTGTGAGGGGGAAAAGGAGATCCAGCCGTTTCGTCTTACCGCTACTTTCAGGTGCCTTTCCCAGGGGTAGGTCCTATCAGTGGGGAACCAGGTTTTTCTCGGAAAGAATGGGAAGGAATTGATGTGAAGCCCAAACGAAGTGGAGGGTGGACAGGGAGCCTGAGTGGAGGATAGTGAAGAGGCTACAGGACCTGTCATGCCTCTGTCATAATAGCCTGATGGGCATCTAGGCTCAGGTGGATTTTTGACTTGTAACATAGTAGATGCAAGTCTCAAAAGTCTTCTGCTGCATTTGAGTGCTCGGCAGTCTTGTTGGTAATCTCTGCTTTAACTACTAGACCGTGCTCCCTTCCCAGCACCAGGGTTGGAACCCACAAATCTTGATACCCAGCCTTGTACTAAACCAATGCCTTCCGCCTTACTACAGCTACATGTAACATTTTGGAAAAAAATAAGGTTGTCTTACATGCAAATTATTTAAAGTATGCATACGTATCGCTTAAAATGCATGCTTTATTACAGAGTTGTGGTTACATGTCCCTAATGCCCTTTTGCCCCCAAAGGTGGCAATGCTAGATGGATTCCTGAGACCAGATTGCAGAACTGCACAGTGGTCACTCCCTTGCTAGTGGAGAATACCAACTGCAGGGCCACAGAGACTGGCCCAGATTTACATGCTATAAATTTGTCTGTTTGATTATGAAGTTTTATGGTCTTGAGTTCCTTTCCAGAATCATTATCACGTCTGTCACTGTCACTGGTATCAGTGGCAAAGGATGGTTTTAATAGAGTCATGCAACCCAAGTGATCATTCTTGCTGAAATACTGCTCCCAAGCACACAATGGACCAGGTGCTATAATTATTAATGAGTCCCTGCGATAGCATACGCAGATCTTCCATTTCATTTTAATGCAGTTTATTTAGAATAACTTCAGATACGGAAATTGTATTGGAGGGATTTTTTGGAAGGGGGTGAGTTTGATTGTTGGAATCCTTCTATCCTGGAAATGAGGCATGCCTCTCATGGGTTCTTTTTCACTCGTACACAAATGAACTGCTAATTAGAGTGATGAAATTGCTGAGAGAGGTGAAACCTTCCAGTTGGCCAAAGAGAAGACTGTAGATTAATCTGTATAAAATTGAAAGCTTGGCTGAAACCGCTGTTCAACATTCTGGTGCTAATGAGAGTTGTGTGCACGCCATGTGAGGAGCTGAAATATGTCCCTCAGTTTGTGTTCAGAGATCCAAATACTGGGCTCAATCCTCCGAGGCGCATAGTGCCTTCAAATCTGCCAGAGGGCAGTAGGATTTAAAAGCACTCAGCGCCCCCCAAAAAGGGGTGCTCAGCACCTGACAGCATCAGCCCATGCAGACAATCTTTATGCAGGAGCATCTTGAGAGGCATATGGATGGTTGGGAAATTGCAGAGTGTAGCTTGGAGAACTGCCAGTATGTCTTACATGGCCTGCACTGTAATATGGCATTTAAGCCTCATGACCTTTAATGTGTTTCTCCTTACAATCCCCCTGTGTAGTAGAGAAGTGCTGTTGTCCCCATTTTGCAGATGGAGACCTGAAGGACAGAGAGGCTGAGTGAGTTGTCCAATATCATACTGTAAGTCAGTGTCAGAGTCAGGACTAGAACCAGATTGCAATCCAGTCCCCTAATCACTGAGAAACCTTTCCTCTTCTCTGTTTCACCTTGTGCCCTACAGCGTTCAAGAGCTGGGCTTGGGGTGGAATTGAATTCCTCTCCTCCAGGGCCAGGTTTACTGTGGTTTCCCAGAAGCTGCAAACTGTGGCTACCCAGGAATTAATGAATGAATACAACAAAACTCAAGAGAATGTTTTAAGAGTGTCGTGTGTGTTTGCAGGAAGCCGTCGGATTGTGGATGTAATGGATGTGAACACACAGAGAGGGGTTGAGATGAGCATGTCCCAGTTCGTGAGGTATTATGAAACACCAGAGGCCCAGCGTGAGAAGCTTTACAACGTCATCAGTCTGGAGTTCAGTCACACCAAGTTGGAGAACATTGTCAAGCGCCCCAATGTGGTAAGGGATCTCTTTGTGGTGGGGTTAAAATAGCGTCTAGTGATTTGGAATTTTCTCTTAACTATTAATGTGAAAATATAACCTGATGGCAAATAATAATGGACCCCTTGCATGACGCTCAGCAGAAAAGGAGCCATGGACTCATCCTTTCTCTGACTGCCACGGAATGGGATTTCATACTGAAATCTTCAAGACAAGAGCTGCACTAGTAGGGTGCTGAGCCATCACCAGTTTCCCTCTTTTCTCACTTATGTGGGATCTCTCTCCCTTTTGTAATCACTCTGCTCCCACTCTTTGCACCTGCCCACACTTTGGCTTTAAGACAGGAACTCTGAAGAATTCTGTGTCCAAGTGAAACTGGAGGAAATATTAGCTAGGCAGTGATGTAATTACTCAGATTGGCATTTGGCCAGAATACCAGGGTTAATGTTCCTCGAAAATATACAGTATCTTTCTAAATTGGGTTTTTGAATGCGCATGAACATAGTTTGTAGGGTACAGTCTCCATGTATACAGTTAAATGCAGATGTTATTGAGATCCCACAGCACAAGTGGCCCAGTCTTGCAAGGCACTTAGTGCCCACGACTACTCTAGGGTCAGAATTGGTGCCCAGTGGACTCAGTGTCATATCCCTCCTATGTTTGAAGGGCTAAGGGTTGGAGTGCTCAGTACAGATTTCACAGTGTTTCGTGTTCAAACAGCCAGAACGGAGACAGTAATATGAAGGGAATCACTACCATCTCTGAGCATGTGCAAGCTGCCAGGCTGCCATTGATTTGCCAACCACTGTTCCAGCTCTGACTGTTGGGATTATCTCTCATCACTTGTTTATTGACTAACAGTTGGTTCTGGTGGGGATTTTAGGTGGATTTAGTCGACTGGGTGGATAACATGTGGCCGCAACATTTGAAGGAGAGACAGACAGATGCTACTAATGCCATTTCGGAGATGAAATACCCTAAAGTGAAAAAGTAAGTTTGTTTAAGGTTTTGATAAAGCTCTTCTCTTGCCCTCCCCATTTAATTCCTGTTTGAGCCTCAGATGTTGATAGCAGAAGCAGTATTGATTTTTTTTCTCAGCGAGCAGGGATGGGGGCTGGCTTGGTTGACCTGCTTGAGCTGTGTAATACCAGTGGACTTCTCCAGCTTTTAAGAAGATCGATTTGGCATCTGAGAACTTTATAATGGATCTTTCATGTTCTTAAGGCTTGTCATTGGGCTCTTTTCAACCGGGGTCACGTTCTGTCTTTCATTCTAAAATGCTAGAACAAATACTCCGTGTAAAGTTTGGGATTCACTAAATGCAGACACTTAATCTTTAAAAACAACCCCCCCCTTGAAGATTTGCTAAGATTTTAGATTTGAGTGGCCACGTCTGCTGTCCTGGAAAAGGCTGCCCCAGTTAATAGTTTCTTAGGACAGCAAATATGTCAAGGGGAAGAGTTAAAATTTCCACGTACTGGCTGATGGGGCAAAGCCATCCCAGGTTGTTAATGACCAAACTTGATACTAACAGAGGGCTATTTGATAAAATGGGCTTGAGCATCTCAGTCCAATTTAGTTCTCTTTGACAACTCTACTACTACAGTTAATGCTAGTTGGCTTCCTTACTGCTGTTCTGAAATGGGGGACCAAGGACTGAATAGGCTGCAGAGACTGAACTTTAGAAGACCTAGTTGAGGCACATTTGAGAGGTAGTATAGTCAGTCAGCACTTGCATTGCCTCTGTGTCATGTGTCTGTTTCTGCATAAATGTATGGCTTTGCTTCCTGGCATCCTGGCAGACAGTACAACTTCACTGGATTAGAAAGGAGGAGGGGTGAGGAGTTCTATAAGTAGCAAGGTGGTAAGAAATTAAGGAAATCCTTGATGAGTAACTGAAATGAAGACTTCATTCAGAGATATTTGATAGCTTTCACCAGTTTAGATGTCTTGCTTTAGGGTGTTTTTATGTAATGGGAGAAAACAAGAAAGGTTTGAGATCTGAAAGTGTAAATAGCAAATTTCATAGAAATTTTTAGCACAGCTGAAAAATTGGGGTGGTGTTAGTAGTTGAAACAGCTGCAGTGAGGGAGAGCTATAAATACTGGAAGTGGGCTTTGTATTATTGACAGTGTCTGTTTCACAGACATGCTCTCGTGGTTAAACATGGCACCCTTTTGCAGATTTCAGAGTCAGATTCCCAAGCTGGAGTGCCTGAAGTCAGGTGCCTAAAAGTTCATTTAGGCATCTAAGCAGTCCAGTCCCAAATTCCACAGGTGTTAAGCACAGGTAGCTCACACTTGCTATATTATGATCCTTGACCTTAGGCATTCATCTTTTAAAGCCTTTGGTTCAGATTTTTGGGAAATGTGTAGGTTATGGCTGTGAGCTGGATTGACCCAGTTTGGGTCAGAGGTGCATAGGCAGGGGCTTGGGCTTTGGGACCCAGCCACTGCCACCCCTTGTGGCATGTGCCCACACTTAGTGCTTGTCCCCATGGCCACTCAGGAAAGCAACTGCTGCTGAGCCCTATGTCCATGGGTCTCTGTAGGCCATAGTTGGCTGTAGGTTGCCAATCCCTGGTATAGAGGATTTAAGGTGCCTGTCTTTCATTAAACCATATTGAGTAGGTTTCTGAATCCCATAGTTTGCTTTGAAAATCTCTTTGCCTTTACTCTCTGTATCCCCATCTATATAATGAGGAAAGTAGCATTCACCTATATTAAAAGGGATGAGGAATATGGGGAATGGTTTGAGGAATAAATAATATTTGTCAAGGATTTGGGAGATAGGAGGTATTCTGTAAATGCCCTTTATTGTAGTAACACATGGTAACACAAATATGTACTTACTATTTACACAGATATTCATATCTTGCATACATTCATTTGTTGATATCCTGAAAAACGTCAGGCAGCTTAGGGTTACTAAACTTCATTTAATATTGCTCAGATATAATTGGCGTTTGGTGGTAAATTGATTTTGTCTTACCATTGTTCAATTTTCACTGACATTTTCCTCTTGGCTGGGGAGCTATAAATTTCCATCCAGAGGAGGGTAATGAAACCTCTCCATCCAAACTCTTGTGGTTATGTCTGATGGCAGAAATAGCCGGAGAGACTCTCATCAGTAAATACCTATGAACTTGGAGTCTTATCTTCAGGAGCTATTTGGTTTTGCAATTATTTGATTGATTTACCATTTAAATTCTGTTAAGAGTTATTTTATTTTTGTTGTTGTGCTGACGACAAAGTAATAGCTTATGTTATGAGTGCTTTCTGCTGCCAGAAATATAAGAACGTTACATATGGGTTCTGTATCAAGTCAGGGAGATTGTTTGCTTTGGGAAAATGCTTAATATTTTTTTTGCCATAAATTACATTCAGAATAAAAAGTCATCAGAAAAGTTGCATAGCAGGATTTTCATTGGGAGGTAGGCATTCTCATGGGGGATCAGGACACTGACCAGTCCAGTCCAGTCAACCCTGTTTCAGTCACTGGTCCCATATCATATCCTTCATTGCTAGAATTCAGTTGGATCTGATCCAAAGCTCTTTGACGATAGCAGGAGTCTTCTTGTTGATTTCAAAAGGCTTTGCATCAGGTCCTGTTGAAGTAAACTGCTTATAAAGGAAGTTCCCAACTGATCAGGATTGGAAAGAGGTTGGTCTAACCCTGAAACCCGAGTGTTTAGATCCCTTGTATTTTTATCCTACATAATATCCTTGTGAAGAACTGCGTGAGACATATATAAATTTCAGATGTGGTTTTGGATCATGCTGATCTCGACAGCTAACACTCTTGACTTCAATGATACCTAGTGGTAATGAGTTCTGCTGGTTAGCAATGATATATTTTGGTAAGAAAAGTATTACCTTGCTCTGGTATTATCAGATATGGTAAACATGAGCACCTTATCATCCTGCCTTCCTTAAACTAGTCATCAGTGTTGTGCATATCTTTCATATGCCCGCTTATCTCTTTTCTAAATAGTCTCAGCTTTTTCTTTTTGCTCTTAACATGTTTAGAAGTACAAAATACTTTGCTAATCGCCTGTTCCTATACCTCAGCTGTTCTTACCATCACTGACTTTTGCTTTTCTTCACCACCAGTGGAGTTTCGCTGCATTGTGTTCTCACGCACTGGCCTCTACCAGAATATGTTCAGTTTCTCACAATAACTACTATGGTTTCAGAGTGAAGGCCGGTTTGTTCTGAGGTACCAGATGGTAACGAATGTACAATAGGAGTGTACAGTCAAAAAGTGACATGCAATATTTAATGTTGCTGCTTTTCTAACCAAGTACTTGAAAAAGTGAAAGCTGGAGGGATGGAAGAGATTCTTTCTCCTGCCTTGTCTCCCAACCCAATCCAGTGATGTGGTCAGGACCCTCATCAACCAATGATGAGGCGCTTCTGAAAAATGAAGCTTCTTGGTAAGGTGTCTAGAGATGGATCGAATTGTCTAGGTTTGAAGTGCTGATCTGAGTGAGTTGCCGGAGGTCAGACAGTCACTGACTGCCTGACTTAAGCAGCCTACTCCCCCATTTCCTACTTTAACCATTGCCTGACATGCCCTTTCCTTTATTTAGAACATGGGAATCACAATATGGTTCATGGTCCTTTTACCTCGTTTGGGGGGGTGTAAATGAGAATGAAAGAAGATAGTTCCTAGCAGATGAAGCCTGCAGTCTGTGTGCTGGACGGGACGCAGCGAGCGGACAAACACGGGAGGGGCTAGAAGGACGAGGTGGCAGAACAACGGGCAGAACTTCATACAAGAACAGACATCTTAGCTCACCAACGCCAGATGGTTGATCTCTTGGTGGGGTTGAAAAGAGGTTAAGGTAGCAGTTTTACAGTACGGATTTTGACAGGGAGCTCGTCCCATACATTGGGATATAAGGGAGTTGCCAGAGGAGCAGCAGGCAAGCAGGTAGCTAAGGTTGCTCTCTTTGGTGGAATTAACATGGAGATTGATGGCTTAATATGTTAATGTAGGGGCAGAGCTGTCCCTAGGATACGGCGAATCGGGGCGACCGCCCTGGGCCCCGCGCCTTGGGGGTGCCCTGTGGAGCCGGGCAGAGCGGCTGTGGCCCCTCCCCCGGGGCCCACCTGGAGCTGGCGGCTCAGCCCGAAGCTGCAGTACAAGCATGGAGACCCTCCCCTTTGCGGGGGGGCCACAGCCCTGCACAGGTTAAGGGGGCCCCACACAGGCTGATTTTCCCTGGGCCCCGCACCCCGCTAGAGTCGGCATGGGGTGGGGGTGGGGTGGGGGGCAACCTGTGTGACAGGTACCACAAGTGGCACAGGCCTCTGTGTGTGTTACTTGGCAGATCAAGGATTAGACAGGCAGCACAGGGACAGATAGGCCAGGAAGCAGAAAGTAGAGCAGCAGATCAGGCAGGGAGCGCAGGGCAGGAAGCAGAAAGCAAAGTAACAGATTGGGCAGGAGAAGGAGATCAGAGTGGTACTCAGAAGGGGTGTGGAGCTACTTTGTGGTGCTCCTGCCAAAAAGGTTGCCTCCCTCCTTGTGCTAACAGATGTGGGGAACAGAGAGGAGCTAAATGGTAGAGACTTCAAAGGCAAGGACAAAGAGTTTGGCTTTAATACGGCTCAGGAGGAGCAGCCACTGGAGGGTCAGGAAGCCTAAGCTGATGTGGTCAGCGTGAAGAATTAACGAATTGATCCTAGCAACAGCTTTTTGAATTAGCTTAATGTGGGAGGGTGTCTGGCATACAGGCCAGAGAGGAGTGGACTGTAGTACCCAAGGAGCAAGATGAGGAGGGCCTGAACAGGAACCTTGGTAGTTTGGACAGACCGAACGGTCCAACGAACTAACACTAAACACGTGTAGCCCACTTTCTAAACATAAGTTGCTAGCTACCCTTTCCCATCTTTGGGAAATTCAGTCCTAGCCCCTGCTGTGAGTGCTCCTGTAGAAGCTTGAGGACGTTGTGTGTGACGCTTGGGCTCAGCGTCATTGTTATT